CACACACACACACACACACACACACACACACACACACACACACACACACACACACACACACTCGAGACACCGGGCACACTCACTTCCTGTACAAATCAAATTCATATTTCTGACGGCTCCTGATGACCTCACGGCAAATGAAGCGAAGGTCCTCAGTGGCAATCAAACACGCGGCCGAGTAATTACAAAGAAAAAGGGGTAGGAGAGGAAATTGATGTGGTTTGTCAATTAATGTTGCTGCAAGGTGTTTCTTTGAAAGGTTAAGTTGCTCATATCTTCMGCGGGTTAAATCAGGTCCGGTAAAATGTTGACCTTATTTGGAAAACGGGCAGCAGGCAGAGTCAGGAAAATTTGGCTGCAAACGTTTTTTTTCCTTTGCAGCTTTGAAAATCTGCAACCTAGAAAAAGCGATAACCCCTGCTAATTATACTGCAACACGTTCACCCCTGCTGCAGCTAAGATAATTACAAGTCAAGCTGGTAAAACCTCACTGTTAAATAAACTGCACACCTTTTGTTTCCGCTGTGAAGTGCATCCCAAAGAAAGAGAAGTGGGAGTAAAAAAACCCCAAAACGAAACAAAACAAAAAACACAGCAAGTGTGAAATTGCAGAGAAAAGTGCTTTTATTTATACAAGTCGCTGGAGATGCTCATCATCAGCGTTTTTTCCGAGCCATAAATAATTTGCAGAGAGAGGTAATATTCAAGCTGGCAGAGCCTTAGTTGTGCATCTTTAATGGAAGTTTTACAGAAGCTGAGCCAGTTCTTGCATATGCTGCTGTCACCCATATGGAGGAGCGGAGACAAAAGGAGCACAGTTGGCTTGTCCTATCTTTTTATAAGTCCAACGACACTTAAATGCTAGCCTCGGAGAAAACGCGGCACAGGGGGACATAAACCCACTGTGGTTTTAGGAGGGAAGATAATGACTTTGCCTGCATTAATTTCTTCATCAGCCATCTTGTTGCTACAGACAGAGTGGTTATGAGTCCGTTTCTGAAGGTCCTGGCGTATATAGATGCTGTTTCCTGCATAATTTTGGCCCTAACAGTTGTTGTCAGCAGTGCATTTTGTGAGCAGGCAGCTGTGGAACATCTGTTTATAGGTAATGAGTGCTGGAAAAGCTACACCTCACTTTACCTTTAATGGCTTTTATTGGAGCACACTGATGGAAAAGAAGYGTTAACTTTCTTTGTATTGTTGTGATTCAGCGGGAATATTCTTTCATGGTGGAACTGTCACCTGCCTTGGGCAACAGACTGAATGAGAGCACACGATGGATCATTAATATTAACTTTTTAAAAAACAAAATCCAATATGCGAGTCAATAAAGACTTCATTATCTTTGGAGATTTTACTACATATTCACAGCTCTATTTGGTCCAATTTTGGCCTTTGATAGAAGAAACTTATATCAATGGTTCCCAAACCTTTTAGCTCCCAACTCACAAAACTATTGTGACAAAGACTTGTAACTATTACTKGTTTAAATGGACAAAAATTACAAATAAACATGGATACAATGACTTATAAACATCCTTAACCTCCCCTATAGTATCTTAAATTAATTTATGACAACTGTTTTGAAAATAAGCATTAATCTTTAAACATATGTTTTTCTGAAGATTAGGGACCTCCACTTGACATTATGTGAACAACAGTTGGGTCCACACCCCAGTTTTTGGAACCAGTARCTCAGATGATTTTGCAACAAGTCAATCAAACAAATAATCCTTTAAAACACAAAACAAATACTGTTTGTAATGCTCAAATAAAATGAACACACAAAAATGTTATTGCTGCCAAACAACAGCTCACTTATAGCTTCCATTCAACGGGACACTTTTTCTAGACAAATTGTAGTTACCAGTGTGCGTTATGTAAAGTTTATCTAAAGTTCAGGTCTAACTAACTGGGAAAAATGGGTTCACAATAAAAAGATGTGAAGACAGAGAAAAGAAAAGAAAAAATGTAGGTTTTTTTGTTGTGTAATGCCCTGTTAAAATGGCAAGATTAAAATAATTTGGTTTGATTTTCAAAGGCTAGAGAACCCACATACAACAATAAAAAATCATAGATATAGTAAGGGTCTCAAACTAGCAACAGTCATAGAGAGAACATTGATTTAAATATCTATATTCTTTAGGTTTGGCTGTACAGAATGGTTGTCAGTCATGTGGTGCGATGTTACTTTAGTTCCAAAAATTTGTTGGGTTCACACAGCAAAATAAATGTGCCGATTTTCTCCTTCAGACCATCTTAAGGACGCTCCGATTAGCATGATGGCTATAGATAGATAGATAGATAGATAGATACATTTATTTGTATAGCACCTTTCAAAATTCTGTTACAAAGTGCTTTACATCATAATAGAAACAAAACACATAAAAAACATAGCACAAAATAAAAATAAAACATGCAAAGGTCAACAATTAAAGGCCAACTCATAATAAAATGTTTTTAAAAGAGATGAGAAAGAGGACAATGAAGAAGCTTGTCTGATATAAAGTGTAAAATATAATCCTATGAGATCTTCCAGCCATGTGCGATGAGTTAAGAGTGATCTAGTTAGCTCGGAAGGACATTGGAACTGCTCTGGTGTCAAATCTGACATATTTAACATGTTGGATTGTCTTGGTCTGATATTCTCGGAGAACCAATGAGCTGCAGCCTGTTGCATGAGATGTGTAGCCAATCAGAGAGCGTGGTGACGGAAATACAGAGGGGAATTCAAAACACAAAACAGTTGCTATGGTGCACCAAAAAGTCTGCTGGACATCAGAGACGTCTTTTTTTAAGTTTAAAACAGTCCTAAAACTATTGCCATCAGTTCCTCCAAGTCGGCCATCTTTATTTTCTCTGATCTCACGTTTGATCTTGAGAGACGTCGCGAGATTTCGCATCTGACGTCTGAATGTTTGTGAGGAAAATCTATTTGTGTGGTTGTACACACACACTATAGGACAGAGTCTAACTTGAATTAATATTGCAACAAAACATTTATGGTTTAATCTATTGGCGTAGATGTTTGAAATGAAGATATTTGGACAGTTTGTTTTTAATAATTATTATTTAACACAATTGTAGTTTTTCACACCAGAATGTTTTTTTGTGTCAGAGAAGAGATCCCTGCAGGTGGAAGGTTTAGAGACATCTGCACCAAGCTCTCCTCTCACACAATGATGGCTGACACCAGCTCCATCAGCCCTGAATGGAAACAAGCATAAAAGAAATGTATGAATAGAGACATTACTGAGGTTATTTCATCATTTAATAAAGCTATCCTCTATTTGATTCTGTTTTTGTATTAGCTTATTATTGTTCAGGTGCTTGTTTTGTTGTTGTTTTTTTCCTCCTGGGAGCTTTCATCTCCTATCTTGAGACCAGTTTGTATTCACTACCCTGTCTCCGTGTCTGTACTACCGCCGGTACTATATGAACCGCTAATAAAATCAGCTCAAGTGCTCTTCCAAGTGCAGGCGATGGCCTTTGGTGATTCCTAGATCTATACATTAAACCAGCACTATATATTCAGAGGAGGATTACTTCTGAAAATGTAAAGCGAGGGACTGAGCTGCAAGGCGAAGGGGATCGGCGGTGTGCTCTGTCTGTGCAGCTGCACGTCAATGTTATCACTCCTCGCTACCACCGGGTGAAAGAGGACGCCGTCGGCGTCTTGCGCTGCAGAAAGTCTTTGTGAAGTTGCAGGGAACCGACACCCAGGAGACGCAGAGTGTGTGAGAACAAAGATGCGAGAGAAAGTTTAGGAAGAGCGTGTGTGTGTGTGTGTGTGTGTGTGTGTGTGTGTGTGTGTGTGTGTGTGTGT